CTGTTCACACGGTCAGTCTTTCTGGCACGGGCTGTCCTCACCCTGGGTCCCCTCGTTAGCAAAGACTTTGACAGCCCATGGTGAAAAACAAAGGCTTGCCAGGATTTGGAGGTGACCTCCCAGGAACAAAGGCCAGCCAATTCCGTATTATATAGCAATGTGCTGGTGCTATCTGATGACATGCCCTCACCAGCCCTTGCCATTGAATGGCCCGACTCCGTGACTCTTGCCAAGGGTTCTCCCTGACCCAGCTGATGGAAGCCACATTCAAGTGCTCTGCGGAGGCGACCGTGGAAACCCTCCAGAGAGGCCCCTTCAGTGGCTTTGCTCTGAATGAAGTTAGAGCCCAGGTTCACACGGCCATCATGAAATCTTCAAAATGTTTCATTTTAAAAGTCATGAGATTCTCCTGAGCCCTCCCCATCCAAGTTGTGTGATGCTCTCTTTCAGAAGGAAACGAGCCAGGACAGACAGCTTGAACCTCATTCCTCTTACACAAATGAGTCTTGTTTCGAGGGGGACTCCTCTCCATGGTGGGATTTTCAGCTCAGCTTGGCATCCCCCACACACCAGGCAATGCGGGCTCGGTAGGGATGCAACATGAGCCCCACCATGGAAGGCTTGCAGCGTTGGGTGCGGAGGGGTGAGGCTGGATCACAGATACTGAGCAAGGATTTCAGTTTGGGCTGGGAAGGGGTATGCTCGGAGGTCCCTGGAAACACAGAGCAGGTGCCTCTAGCTCAGACCGGGAGGGTTAGGCTCATCCTGGTGAGTCTTTAATGGATCAGTGGGGGTGACCAGGTGATTGTGGGCAAGGGGAGAGCATGAACAAAATGTGGAGTTTTCAGGGGGGCTTGAGGTGGTGCATCAGAAGACAGCCGGCTGGGCGCGGTGGCTCACACCTATAATTCCAGCACTTTGGGAGGCCCAGGTGGTCAGGAGTTTGAGACCAGCCCGCTAAAATGGTAAAACCTCGTCTCTACTAAAAATACAACAAAATTAGCCAGGTGTGGCGGGGCACGCCTATAATCCCAGCTACTGGGGAGGCTGAGGCACAACAATAGCTTGAACCTAGAAGGCAGAGGTTGCAGTGAGCCAAGATTATGCCACTGCACTCCAGCCCGGGCGACAGAGCAAGACGCCATCTCAAAAATAAATACATAAATAAAAAAGTAAAAACAAAAATTAAGATAGCCAAGGAGCTCAGATTGTCCTGTATGACACAGTAGAGCCATCAGCGGATGAATGGAGAAATAAACTGTGGTATACACACACTCAGCCCTAATGAAGTACATACTGGGGCAGGCTACAGCATTGATGAATCTTGACAACATTAGCTAAGTGAAAGAAGCCAGATGCAAAAGTCCACATAGCATACAATTCCGTTTACGGGAAATGTCCCCAATAGGCAAACACACAGGGACAGACAGCAATCACCTGAGGTTAGGGGAGCGGAGGACAGGGGTTGCTTTTGGGATGATGGAAAGGTTTTGGCCCTAGATAGAAGCAGTGGCTACACAACATTGTAAATGTACCAAATGCCCCTAAATTATTTTTGAATTTATTTTTTATTTTTTGAATTTATTTTTATTTTATTTATTTATTTTGAGACGGAGTCTTGCTCTGTTGCCAGGCTGGAGGGCATTGGCACAATCTCGGCTCACTGCAACCTCTGCCTCCCGGGTTCAAGCGATTCCCCTGCCTCAGCCTCCGGAGTAGCGCTCTGCTAATTTTTTTGTATTTTAGTAGAAACAGGGTTTCACCATGTTGACCAGGATGGTCTTGATCTCCTGACCTCGTGATCCACCCTCCTCGGCCTCCCAAAGTGCTGGGATTACAGGCGTGAGCTACCACGCACGGCCGAATTATTTTTAAATGGTTAATTTTATATGAATTTAACCTCAATTTAAAAATTTAAAAGGTGAGACTGAGTGATGGAACGAATTTTAGAAGAGTGGGGAATGGCCACAGTGGGCTTTTAGAAAGCTGTCCAAGGGACAGTGACAGTGTGGGTGACAAGTCGTCCAGGCAGGACGGCAGGAGGAAATGTCCAAAGGCCACTTCAAAAGTCTCCGTGAAAGACAGTGAGACAATGAGGTCTTAAACCTGGAGAGGATTTTCAGGGAAGGATGGTGTTGAGAATTTTTAGGGGCTTCAGCAGGCATATCTTGGTGATGGGTTTAGGAATACAAATGTTTTCTCTGACAGTTTGACTACAAGGAATACTTTTTTTTTTTTTTTTTTTTAATGTCATGTTTAATAGCAAGCGGTCCTAGGGCAGCACGTTGCTTGGTAGACTCTGCCTTTGGGCTCTGTGTCTGGCCCTTCCCAAAGCCCAAGGATTCACGCCCAGAGGTCATCGGCCAATGTGGAGCTGGAGACCTTCACCTGCTTGCAAGAGAAAGCTGCCTAGGGTCAAGTAGGACAAACTTGAGGATAGTTCTGGGAACCGCAGGCTCGTTAGCGTCTTAAATAAACATAACTTCTGAGTCTCACTCAGCTTTGAGCTGGAATCATTTACATACTTCGGTCAGGCAGAAGTGGCGGAATCACGACCCCTCCTTAGCCCCACTCTGAAGCGTTGTCTGTTTGCACAGCCTGAATCCTTTGTACAGCTCTACCCTGTCTGAAGCCTCATGGCTTTTCTGAAGAGGACTTTGTGCTTGTTCTGTGTGCCAGGAATTTTAAAATGGCATTTAGCCCAAAGCAAGAAAGTTCTGGCCTCATCTTTATAAAATTATGTTTTAAAGGGAGGGCAGTATTTAATGATGCACAGAGGGGCCATCCATGCCCGCAGCTGGGCCCTCATCACTCAGCATATGCCAGGGTAATTGTTCTTTCCTGGTGGTGGAGGTGACCCCAGGGGACCCTAACTAATTTGAATATCAAGTCTGATAAGAATGTAATTAGGAAAGGACTGCAGAAAATCTGGTGATGCATTTCTGAAGTCAGAGAAACCATGATTTGCCCGATGTCCGCTGTGTCTTCAACTCTCTTTTGGGTTCTTGCAAAGGGAACAAACACCTCAGAGGCCCTGAGTCATAGACCCTTAGATGGAAACTTGCCGTGTGTCATCCGGTTCAAGCCCCACGCCTGTGAGGCTGACATCTGCCCTCACACACACACCTGTGCAGAGAGGGTCCCCGCGCCAGCCTGGCCTGTTAGTGACTTCCCTCCTCCTGGTTACAGTGATTCCTTCCAAGGTGGTCAGGTTGTCCGAGGCAGGTGAAATACAGCAGCTTCATCTTGAATAAGAGCTGAGTAAAATGAGGCTGAGACCTACTGGGCTGCATTCCCAGATGGTGAAGGCACTCTACGTCACAGGATGAGATAGGAGGTCACACAAGATACGGGTCACGAAGGCCTTGCTGGTAGAACAGCTCGCAGTAAAGATGCCGGCCACAACCCACCAAGACCAAGATGGCCGTGAGAGTGACCTCTGGCCGTCCTCCCTGCTATACTCCCGCCAGTGCCATGACAGTTTACAAATGCCATGGCAACGTCAGGAAGTGACCCTATATGGTCTAAAAAGGGGAGGCATGAATAATCCACCCGTTGTTTAGAATATCATCAAGAAATAACCATAAAAATGGGCAACCAGCCGCCCTGGGGCTGCTCTCTCTATGGAGTAGCCAATCTTTCCTTCCTCCACGTTCTTACTAAGCTTGCTTTCACTTTACTCTGTGATTGCCCTGAATTCTTTCTTGTGCAAGATCCGATAACCCTCTCTTGGGGTCTGGATCGGGACCCCTTTCCGGTAACAAGATCAGTCTCCCATGAGTCAGTCCTGCGGCCTCAGCTGGCGCAGAGGGAAAGGCTGGTTCTCGTTTCTTGGGCGGGCAGGGTCAGGAGGATGGAGCCTAGGGCTGCTGTGTCCGCAGCTACCTGGGTAGACTCTGCTGGGAAATGAAGCCAGCACCGCAGGGCAGAGTTGAGAGATGGAGAGAGGTTCCTTAAGACACCGTCTGTTTATTTGGGTCCAGCCATGTGGAACGTTCTGGACTTTTTAGTTATATGAACCAGAACTTGCTCCCATCACCTTTTTAAAAACTTCAGCCAATTAAGCTGGTCTCTGGCTCTTTGTCATCAAGTGGCCCCTCTGTTATTTGCTTTTGGGGACTGTCAGCTTCCCCTGAAACCTGGGGGGTCAGACGGCTGCCCATGGAGGACCAGCGCATCGTCAGGTCCTCTGCCAGTGACAAGGACGCTCTCCCCAGTGGCCTCATCCAATGTCCTAATTCTCTTTAGGGAACAGCACCAAGCGTGTTGACCCGCTTTGGGTAAAACCTCTTTGTTAGCGGAGCTCTAAAACTTCTTGCCTCAAACTCTTACCCAACTCTCTCCTGAGCTTCCTACAGTCTAGGGGACAAGGAGAGCAGATAGGGAGTAGCCACGGTTTCCCCTCAGTTCCACCTTTGCTAAAGGGGCCCTCACCTCCGCATCCCCGGCACCGGCTACCTGTGGCCCCCCTCAGCCTGGGACACAGTCACACAAGTGTTTGTGTGCAGGCAACAGTGCATTGTCTGGCCTCGTGCTAGAGAAAAGCTTGCACCGCAGCCCCAGCCGACCAATAGCCCCCATCATACCTGACAGAGCCGTTCCTCCACGTCCGTCACCCACCACCAGCAGGAGCTCCTCCCGCCCCCAGCACGTTTGCCCACGGGCTCGGGCACCTCCTTCCCTCCTAGCCTGCTTCCTGCTTTGCATGTGCCCTGCCTGCTTCTCTTCAAGTCCCATTGGTGTTTTCTAGGGCTGCGTATCCCCGTGGTCTCCAGGCTCCCCTCTCGTCCCCACTCTCCCCAGCCTCCACTTCTGTAGCACAGCAGCACTGCCAGGGTCCCCAAAGGCCCATCCTTTTCTTCTTTGTTCCTCAGCCAGGGTAGGGGGCAGGAGGCCGGACTTATGTCCCCCCAGCTGGAGTTACACTGCTCTCCCTGGGAGGCAGGGCCAGCCACGGTCACTCCGGGTTTTCAATAAACATTTGTTTTCTCCCCACAACACAGAAATACTTACAGCCTGTGACGAGGTCCGGTCCTGACTGTCCCCACTCCAAGTTCAAGCTCAGCTGACGTTGTCTCTCCATCACTCCTCCTCTTTCTTTCCAGACCCTTCACCTTCCATCCGGAACACACTCCCCTGAATGGCTGTCCTGTGAGTGCGCCCTTGTTTGCTCCAGTCTTTCTTAAACCAGGGTGTCCAGATGGACGGTTGAGTGCCAGATGTGACCTGACCAGTGGCGTGAGGCTTTCCCGGGGACTGGCTCTGTGTAATCCAGGCTGTGCCAGCTTTTCCTGGCAGTGTCCCCGTCGTCAGCTCTCATGACATTGGCCATGTCTGTCAGCTCTCATGACATTGGCCATGTCTGTCCATCCTCCGTCAGCAGCTTCCCACATGGCGCCCTGCTGTCGGGTTAGGCTTCCCCAGCTTGTGAGGGCCTCCTAAGTGTGAAGGAGCTCCAGCCATGTCTGACCCACTGGTTTTGCCAACCCTTCCCAGTCTCTAAAGCCATCCTCCTCTGCTCAGTTCATTGGAACACTTATTCTATTTTTCATTTTTCTTTTCTTTTCTTTCTTTCTCTCTTTCTTTCTTTCTCTCTTTCTTTCTTTCCTTCCTTCTTTCTTCCCTCCCTCCCTCCCTCCCTCCTTCCTTCCTTCCTTCCTTCCTTCCTTCCTTCCTTCCTTTTCTTCCTTTCTTCCCGGTCTTTCCCCTCCTTCGCTCTCACTCTGTTGCCCAGGCTGGAGTATCCTGGTGCAATTACAGCTCACTGCAGCCTCAACCTCCTGGGCCAAAGCATCCTCCATCTCATTCCACTCCCCGGGTAGCTGGGACCGCAGGCGTGCACCACCACGCCAATGTCTGACCCACTAGCTTAACTGATTTTCCGTATTGACCTCATCATCTTTCACCTGAAGCATCCCTTCCAGGTGTGTGCCTTTTGCAAGTTTGACAAAAATGCCTCTGCTTCTTTCTAAGGCTCTGGCTGGCACCGAAACAAAGAGCCCTGGGGCCCCCACTACGGTTTTCCTTCAGGGTGACTCATTGTCCTCAGCTGTCCATGTAGCTACGAACTGACCTCCTGGTTCTACCATCTAGTCCCCGTTGGACCACCTAATTTACAAAGATCTACGCCAGTCAGTATATTGTCTGAGACATTCTCTGGATCCATAAATCTGGTAACTCATGGAAAATGGAAATAAGGTCCTTTGTTGAGACAGCCAGGTGGGAAGGGATCCCCAGAAAAACTACCACCAGCCTGCGCACTGGGCGGAATCTGCACTGGGGTGGAGCCCCAAAAGCCCAGACCTTTCCCAGCGGGGAGGAGCCTGGCCGCTCCTCCTCTTGGGTGGAACCTGGGATTCAGTCTGTGAGGGGGAAGCCTACACGAGGTGGGCTTGCTCTGCTGAGTCCGTTTCCCCTTGTTTTCCTTTTTGCTCAATAAAAACCATTATTCTCACCCTTCCAATTGTCTGCGAACCTAATCTTTTGTGGCCGTGTGACAAGGAACCCGCCTTCAGCTGAAAAAGTCCCACGACATTGTGGTGTGTTTTATTCTTAGAGTTTCCGGTTTTGTGTTGACTCCCTTTACACCTTCATTAACCAGCTCTAAACTAATCTTTTTCTAAAGAGTCACATCACATTTACTGAAATATCATTTCTAGAATCTTCTTTCTTGCCCCTCTTTGAAGCCAGGTCAGTGGCTCACGGCCTGTTTTCAGCACTGCTCTTATCCTTCATCATTTCTCAGAATTGGTTATGGCTCTGAGGGGATGACTCTTGGGGGCTTAAATGTCCTGAGCTGCAATTCATCAGGGGCTGGGGAAGGAACTTGTTTATAGCAGCTGGCGTAGCTGTTTTCTCTCTTCCCCTATATCTGGACTTATATCCGGCCGCGATCCCCTCTTTGCATTTAATTCAACAAACAGTTCCTGAGCTCCCGCAACATGACTGGCATCGTGCTTTGTTTTCGCCTTTTCAATTCAAAAACCAGTCTCTTTCCTGGAACAGGCAGCAGTAGGAGGCGAGTTGAGGTGGTCTGCCTTTGTCCTCTTCTTGAGGGGGTGTATTTGTGCATTTTCCTGCTGTTGAAAGACACACCTGAGACTGGGTGATTTATACAGGACAAGGGGATTAATGGACTTACAGTTCCACGTGGCTGGGAGGCCTCACCATCCTGGAGGAAGGCAGGTAGGAGCAAGTCATGTCTTACATGGATGGCAGCAGGTGAAGAGAGCGCTTTAATCCTTACCAAAAATGTAAACTGCAGTAATCTGGTGTTAACCAATCAGTCACCTCTCCAGTGCCCCATCTCCCTGTCCCCATCTTACACGGAACGTAACTTTAAAATGATCCATCTGCTTTTTGTTCTTTGTTTTCCCTTTCTTCAACCCTTCTCTGTCTATAAAGCCAAACTTCTTTGCTCAGTTCATTGGAATACTTATCCTATTTTTCATTTTTCTTTTCTTTTTTTTTTTTTGTTTTTTGTTTGAGACAGTGTCTTGCTCTGTTGCCCAGGGAAAATCCCCCTGATAGAACCATCAGATCTCATGGAGCTTAATCACTCTAACGAGAACAGCACAGGAAAGACCTGCCTCCGTGATTCAATTACCTCCCACCGGGTTCCTCCCACAACACATGGGGATTCAAGATGAGATGGGGTAGGGACACAGCCAAACCACATCCGGGGGACTTGGTGTGTCCTTGTTCACCTTGCTGAGGGTTGCTGTAAAGGGTGTGTCTTGTGTACTTTGAAGGCTGTGGTTTGCTCCTGGTTCACACTCTTCCCTCCAGCTCTGTGGGCTCATCTTTGGAAGATGGGAGCTCCTGGGGGGTGCCTCATGCAGCCCCATCCACTTTTTAAGCTGCCGTTCCAGCCTCCCTCCCAAGGGAGGCCTTGCAGTCACAAGACCAGAATTTCATTTACAAAAACATCCCATGAGCCATGTGCCCTGGGGAGCCTCAGGCCAGGGGCTCCTGTCTCCCTCTGCAACCTGTTTTCTTTGGTAGGGAGGACAGGGTGGTTTATTCCTTGCCATTTTGGAGTCAGGAGGTTAGAGTCATTTTCTTGAGGTTTCTGTCACTTCTTCATTACCAGCTAGCTCTTACTATGAGAGTCATAGAACAATCCATAAGTCCCATTTCTGAGAACGCCACTAAATTTGTGCATATGTGTGTAAGAAAAGACATAGAAAAATCTGGATGGAATCACACAAAAGGTGTTAGTAGAAGTGACCTTCGGGCCGGGCGCGGTGGCTCACGTCTGTAATCCCAGCACTTTGGGAGGCCGAGGCGGGTGGATCACGAGGTCAAGAGATCGAGACCATCCTGGTCAACATGGTGAAACCCC